TGGACAGCCACTTTGCTTTCTTGCATTTCCTTTTCTTTGGGATGGTTTTTGTTGCTGCCTCCCTTACAGTGTTATGAGCCTCCATCTATAGTTCTTCAGGTACTCTGTTCACAAAATCTAGTTCCTTAAATCTGTTCTTCACTTCCACTGTGTATGCATAAGGGATTTGGCTTAGGTTATACCTGACTAGCCCCATGGTTTTTTCCTACTTTCTTCAATTTAAGCTTGAATTTATGTAAAGCTGATGATCAGAGCCACAATCAGCTCCAGGTCTTGTTTTTGCTGACTGTATAGAGCTTCTCCATCTTTGGCTGCAGAGAATATAATCAATCTGATTTCGGTTTTGCCCATCTGGTGATGTCCATGTGTAGAGTCACCTCTTGGGTTACTGGAATGGAGTGTTAGTGATGACCAGCTTGTTCTCTTGACAAAACTCTATTAGCCTTTGCCCTGCTTCATTTTGAACTCCAAGGCCAAACTTACCTGTTGTTCCTTTTATCTCAACTCCATATTTTAGCATTCTAGTCCCCTATAATGAGAAGAACATCTTTCTTTGGTGTCAGTTCTAGAAGGTGTTGTAAGTCTTCACAGAATTGGTCAATTTCATCCTCTTCATCATTGGTGGTTGGTGCATAAACTTGGATTATTATGATGTTAAAAGGTCTCCATTGGATTTATATTGAAATCATTCTATCATTTTTTTGAGATTGTATCCCATTACAGCTTTTCCCACTCTTTTGTTGACTATGAGGGCTACTCCATTTCTTCTACGGGATTCTTGCCCACATTGTAGATATGATGATCGTTTGAACTGAATTCGTCAATTTCCCTCCATTTTAGTTCATTGAAACCCAGGATGTCAATGTTTATTCTTGCTATCTCCTGTTTCACCACATCCAGCTTACCAAGGTTCATATATCTTACATTCCAGGTTCCTATGCATTATTTTTCTTTGCAGCATCAGACTTTCCTTTCACTTCCAGTTGAGTCCGCAGCTGAGCATCCTTTCGGCTTTGGCCGAACCACTTCATTAGTTCTGGAGCTACTTGTACTTGTCCTCCGCTCTTCCTCAGTATCATGTTGGATGCCTTCCAACCTGAGGGGCTCATCTTCCAGCATCATATATTTTAGCCTTTTGTTTCTGTTCATGGGATTTTCTTGGCAAAGATACTGGAGTGGTTTGCCAATTCCTGCTCCAGGTGGATCGTGTTTAGTCAGAACACTCTACTGTGACCTGTCCGTCTTGGCTGTCCTTGCACAGCATAGCCCATAGTTTCTATGAATTACTCAAGTCCTTTCGCCATGACAAGGCAGCAATCTGTGAAGGGGGTATATACATATATGACATACTATTTTTCTAAATGGTCTGGGCAATAGGTGTGGCAGGCAGAAGGCATAATTCACACAAGCTTTGTTGAAATGAATAAAAGCTATGTAGGAATAGAGACTCATCCATTTTAGGATACTTATGAAGTTATTTGACTGTTTCTTATGAGATGAAATACATCATGTAATATGTTGCACATTTCTCAGCAGACATGAAGGATTAAAATATGCCCCCTTTTAGCCCTCATGCTTGTAGGGGTTGGAAGAATTTTTTTTTTTTTAGAAAGGATAAGAGCTTAGTTCCACACTACTTAACAATTACACTTGGTAGCAATGACTGGGAATCAAATCACACATGAAAGGAAATGGCTATGTTTGCTATTACAGTGTGTTCCTCCAGGTCTACGGCTCATTCAAATCACAGGTCAGACTTGCAAATGAAGCCCATGTTTATCTCATAATGACCAATCACAAAACAAAAGCAAACTTATCTGAAAAAGGCTGAGTGAGGCAAACTCATGTTACTACTATTCAGCTTCTGATACTGTGCTTCTCATATCATCTGCTTGTGACCTCAGTGGCTACAGAGAGGACAGTATTAGCAGTATAAACCTGTGTGTACATGGGACCAAAAGACAGCTGGGCTGCTCCTACCATTCATGAAGTGCCTGCTCCCTGGTATATTGCAGAAAAAGTACTACACATACAGCTAATGCAGACAATGTATTAATTGCAAAACTCAAATGGATAGCTCAATGAGTTGGAGGGTCAGGAATTCAATTTCTATTGTACCTCATGAGGGAAGAGCCAGTCTGTGTGGTCTTGGGTAAGCCTCACAGTCCTAGAGTGCCACTAGAAGAAGGGACTAATAGACCTCTTTTGAGTATTTTAAGAAACCCTGGCAAAAATTGCCATAGGTCAGAACTGATTTGACAGTAAATCATCACAGAATCATAGAATCATAGAAAAGTGAAGTTGGAAGGGACCTACAAGGCCATAAAGTCCAACCCCCTGCTCAATGCAGGAATAGAATCAAAGAATATCTGCTAGGTGATTATCTAAGTTTTTCTTGAATGCCTCCAGTGTTAGAGCACTTACCAACTCCTGATGTAACTGGTTCCACTGTCGTACTGCTTTAAGAGGAAGTTTTTTCTGATATTCAACCGAAATCTGGCTTCCTTTAACTTGAGCCCATTCTTGTGTGTCCTGCACTCTGGGATGATCGAGAACAGATCTTGCCCCTCCTCTGTATAACATCATCATCACCATCATAATTCATGTCAAAACACAGAGGAGTATGGACAAACTGTATATGGGCAAAGTGAATATAACAGTATATGGGTAGAGTCAAGATGAAAAAAAAATACAAATTAATGAGTGGACATAATACCTTCTGAAATATGGATTCTGAGAAGGGTTAGAATCAAAGATACAGCCAGAACCCTGTCAATCTGCCTAGGTATTGTTGTAGCTACCCTGCTCATTTGATTGTATTTATTCATTCTGATTTCACTCATATATTGACATGTTGACCACGCCCACATTCTGTTTGTGGTTACTCTTTAGTGTTTTGTGATTAACACATCAGCCATAGTTCATGATTGTGTGCTTTGTAGCACTTTTCTTTTTCTTTTTGGTAGTGTCTATACAATTTTTTGGTCTTCTGTTTATGCATTCCATGTTATAACCATATGTATTGCCACCCATTTCTAAATTTATAGCTGGATTAGGTAGCATGAACCAAATATTCTTCAACAGTATTGGAAACCAGAAGGAGCAGAAATGTGAGGGATAACTCTTCTCTGGGCCAAGCTGCTTTTTCTTCCTACCTTGGGCATGTTGGTTTTTTCATCATTATTTATTTATTTATTTATTTATTTATTGGACTTATATACCGCCCCATAGCGCTACAAGCATTCTCCGGGCAGTTTACAATTTTTAATTATACAGGCTACACATTGCCCCCCCCCAGCAAGCTGGGTACTCATTTTACCGACCTCGGAAGGATGGAAGGCTGAGTCAACCTTGAGCCGGCTACCTGGGATTTGAACCCCAGGTCGTGAGCACAGTTTTTAGCTGCAGTACAGCGTTTTAACCACTGCGCCACGAGGCTCCTATAATGATAGCCATTGGTTTTCCATGACAATGTGCTTTCTATACACTGGTGATTGGGAGCAGACTTTGCTTTTGGTGCCTACACAAGCAAATATCTTTACCTTCTGATGAAAGTATGGCTGGAGCTACTGGGAGTTCAAGCCAAAAGATGTGGATGGGTTCATCCTGGAGAAGGCTGCCTTAAACTACAGGTCGGAAAAGCTATGCATTTGCAGATGTTAGACTACGGCTTCCATGAGCTGTCACCATTGGCAATTCTGATGGCTCTGATGGGGGGAGTGTTTGAGTCCAACATCTGTAGAGTCCAGGTTTCTCATCCTTGCCTTGAACTATGTCTTAGACTTATGAAACACTGCTTCCTCCCTTTTCCTTTGTTCATTAGTGTCCTGGTAGAAAATGTCTTCATTCACATTTCTGTGTGAACTTGAATCTACCTGACGAACTTGGAATTTGGAGATTTTTTTTGCAGAGGTATAATGTACACCCTATGGATAATGCAGCTAATTTCAAAATCTAAACTGTGTGTGTCTAAGAGTGATCATGGCTGAGATTCTCAGAAATTGTCCTCTTCTTCTATGTTAGGACTATAGAGAAATATATGAAATGGTAATAAAAATGTATACAGCTGCTCTCTCAATAGTTCCCTGCCTAGAATTTTTATATAGCAAGAAAGTTGATAGCTCAGGGCACCGCATGGCATAAGCGACTATGACTGGAGCACAGATCAAAAGTTATATTGGTCAATGAAAACAAAATTGTCATATAGACCAAAAAATTAGGTTCTCCTCTCCTAATGCTGGTCAGCTGCAATGTTTCTTATGCAATTTGCTTTGAAGATGAGTTATAACAGATAATGTTCACTATATCTGAAATATGTTTCCCTTGTTCTTTCACAGACCCAACAGACTGGAGTCCAGGAAATGTCCAGAAGTGGATCTTATGGACAGAACACCAGTACCGGTTGCCCCAGATTGGGAAATCATTTCATGATCTTTCTGGAAAGGACCTATGTGCCATGTCTGAGGAACAGTTTCATCAGCTTTCACCAGCATGTGGTGATGTCTTGCATGCACATCTAGACATTTGGAAGTCAGGTATCTAGTGGGAAAGCTAGGAAACAGATGGCACAGCTGAAAGACTTGATTCTGAATAAATTATTGTATAGAGGGGGTGGCAGTAGAGGTTTGTTCCTGCAAAATGTAACACCTCCTTCTCTGATTCTACTGGGGCATGTCCAGAAAATATTCCAGGAATAAAGGCCATCTTTACAGGGAAAGAGGAATCACTTACTGTTAAATCTGCTTATATCATTGATTTGCTTTGGAGGTATCCAACCTTTTTTTTGGCCTTCAGGGCCCTGTGTGATGAAGCTGATTCCAGATTTGAAGTTTGTGAACATATCTTCATACAGATTGTTCCCTCCTGTATATGTCCACATGTATTCGTATGCATACTCATATATACAGATGTGGACATACAGGAAAGATTAATCTGTATGAGGATTTGTTGAGACTCTTCTAGTCTCTGCCAGTCATTCTGCAGTAGCAGCAGAAAAAGACTCATCTTTTTGAAATCATTGGGAAATTGCTGAGGGGAATTTGGTACCAGGGCTCGGGGAATCCCTGAAGATTGCAGCCAAGACTTAAAGGGGCCACAGGTTTTCTGGCATAGTTTGTGACACTAGGCTAGCATTCAGTCTGGTGCCACAGCACATTTTAAAGCTGAGTCAGTTGTGTGTTTCCGGCGTTAAAAGTGGTTGATGGATGGCCCTATTAGCACAGCAAATTTGGTTTTTGCTTCCTTCCAGTTCTATGAATGAGTGCTTTTCTTGATATCATATAGAAAAGACCTGAAGATTGAGGAAGTGGACTTGATACAGGCCATTAAACTAGAGCATCCCTTGAACTTTGTGCTTGCTTTGCAGCTGCTTGGATGAAAGAGAAGACTGCCCCTGGAGAGATGCATTATTGTGGTGAGCTCACTCTTGCTATCAATAACCAAAGTGAGATGGTGTGTGAGGAGTGGGGGCAGAAACAGTGGAGATCCTTGGAAAGCTACTGTAATGGAAGATAAAAGGGTCCAATAAACGACTGGGAGTTTTTGAAGGCAATACCAATGAATCATACCCTTACAACAGCCACTGCTACCATTACTCCTCCCTCCCCACACTACTACTTCTACTACTACTAGGAGGAGGAAGAAGCAGTGGCATATTTACTTCTATTTATTGTATTGTATGTTTCCTTCTGGACAGAAAGAAGAAAAAGTATAGATTCACTTATGCAGAAAGATAACAATATGACAACTATTAGGCTACACATTTCACAGGATACATGAACTTTACAAACTTCAAGAAGGCACAGGTTGTTCATGAGATAATGATTAAACCAGAATTCAAAGGTTTTGGGACAAAAATGAATTGAATAAACAAAACAAAAATGACACTAAATTTGTATTTCCTGTAATATCCACAATGTTCTGTCCTTCTGTGTTCTGTTACAGGGAGTGAAGAAAACTGGACAGACAGTGAAGTGGACTCGTCCTGCTCAGGCCAGCCTATTCACCTCTGGCAATTTCTGAAAGAGCTTCTACTGAAGCCTCATAACTATGGACGCTTCATTCGTTGGCTTAATAAAGAGAAAGGTGAGTTGCTTCGTGGAAACGCAAATCTGGTTTGGAGAACAGCCTTTCTTATGTGCAATAAGAAACTTCATTGCTCCCATGTTAGGTCGTTTATGGTTTTACTCAGATATTTTTTGATGACAATTATCAGAATTTCATCAGCTTCATCACTAGCCATACTGGCTGGAGGATTACAGAAGCTGTAGCTCAGAAAGTAATTTTTGAAAGCTTTGACCTACTTTTCAGGTTAATGTTGCTTGTGATTCATGTATGTTTTGCTTCTATCAGGCCTCAAAAGGCTCTTAGCACCCTTGCACCATTTGTTTGGTTCTCATGGGGCCTTATAATTTTTTTCTATATTTTTTAAAAACAAGGTGTATTTTCAGTGAGTAGCTCCTTGACGTCAAGTTATAGTTCCAGGACTTGAATGTATTTGTGGGTTTGGGGAGATTGCACATAAAACAAATAAAATAATTGGCTTTCTTGTTTCTTGTGTTTACTTTCCAGGTATATTTAAGATTGAAGATTCTGCCCAGGTGGCTCGTCTGTGGGGAATCCGGAAGAACAGGCCTGCCATGAACTATGACAAGTTAAGCCGTTCCATCCGGCAATATTATAAGAAAGGAATAATCAGGAAACCAGATATCTCTCAGCGGCTTGTCTACCAGTTTGTTCACCCTGTTTGAAGAGTAGAGCAGATGTAGCAAATCCTGAAACACTAACTACTTTGTGGGCTAGAGGATATCAGGAAGCATAGCATCCCTTACACATTTTACTGTGTTAACTTAAAAATAGACGAAGCCAAAGGATGGACAACAGAATGGGCACCCAATGGATTTACTTGCTGAACTTCAAAGATTCCTCTGTGCTTTGGCTATGGAGAACAGGAATACATACACACTTACTTGTGGTTTTTTGTTTTGTTTTGTTTGTTTGTCAAATAGCAAAAAGAAAGTTACTGCTATAAAAAAAGCATACACATATATATAATTTTGGGGGGGCATGCTTTTGTGTGTAGTATATTTTCATATGTACACAAATGTATCTGTCTGTCTCCAGCTGCATTCTATGGGTAGCCAAAGAAGGTGGAAATTGGAGCAGGACAGGGGAGAGGGAAATGGTGATGGGTACAAGAAACATAAGAAGTCTAACCAGTAGAGATTTATTGTTTTCCATTTAATTTTTTGCCGGACAAGTAAAGTGACCTTTTTTAAAAAAAAAGCTTTACTAGATGTAAACTATAGGAAGGCTCATGGGAAGCAAAAAAGTCTCAAATGAATCACACATTGCAATACATGTGCATGGGACTTCAAGGACTTGGTAGCGAAATCCGCAGCATGTTGTGTTTTTCCACATGACAGTCTTCTAATCTGTCTGAATGGTCCAGCCCCCTTTGCTTTCCACTAAACAAGCAGAAAAATTCACCCAAAAATGCACTAAAAAGCTTTGGCAAACTTGTCATGTTGGGGAAAAGGGCTTTGTTAATTCTCCCAAATGACTTTTTTAATGTTGTTACATATTTGTTGTTTGGGATTTTAGACTGAATATAAAGTAGGAGTGATTTTTTTTCGTTTCTGTGTAGTGGTTTCCAGGGAGTATCTGTCTTACTCTTTTGCAGCAAAAGAGGACAACTGGAAGGCTTTGAGCCCTTGAAGATTAACCTGGCATAATCTTTTGGGAACCCTAGCCCATTTCTTCAAGTGGATCTGAAGAAGTGAGCTATACTTCATGAAACATTTTGTCAAAGAAAACGTGTTAGTCCTTAAGGAATCACAACATTCCTTTTTGTTTCAGTATAACAATAAAAGTGATCACTTTGGATCTGACTAGCAGTACGATGGGGATCTGTTCTGATTAGCAAAGAGCATGATTCCCTCAAGGGAGCAGCCCAGCAAAGCCATCTAGACCTGGCACTGGTAAATCAACCACTTCTTTATACCTGCAATGAATGAAAGTCCTGACTCTTTTCATGTATTGTTGGTAGAAGAACAGAGTCACCTATTCAGTGTGTGAAGGAGCCTTGCAGGAGTAAAAAAAAGACAATGAAGTCATGTAAAGGAGCTTCTTGCCAGAGCTCACACTGACCCAAGGCTAGAACACAGTGGCACCTGTGTACCTGCCAAGGCCAACTGGCAGAGCATTTGGGTTTTTTTGAGAAAGCAGAGCTGTTATTACCCCGTTTCCCTGAAAATAAGACCTAACCTGAAAACAAGCCCTAGTATGATTTTTCAGGATGCTCATAATATAAGCCCTACCCCAAAAATAAGCTCCAGTTAAGTGAAACTCCACCCTCCACCATTGTGCAGCAACCACAAGATGATGACATAGCTGGAAAATAAAACATCCCCTGAAAATAGGCCCTAATGTGTTTTTTGGAGCAAAAATTAACATAAGACCCTGTTTCATTTTCGGGGAAACATGGTAGTCTCTGTGAAATGTTATGGTGGCTACCATGGAGAGTGCTGCAGTATACAAATAGTACATGGACTGATGGGCTAAACTGTAGGAGATGGCAATTATTACCAGAGGAGAACAAATGCTTTCATAGTTGACTGTTTTACAGTACAGTGCAGGTGGTGGTGGTGTAGCTAATGCTACTTTCTAGCCTCCCAGGGAGACTTTACATGAATCCTGCTCTGTCTCTCTGAACATAATTCATGTAAAATCTCCCTGTGAGGCAAGAAAGTAGCATTAGCTTCAGCATCACCACCACCTGCACTGTCACCCAAAAAGTAACTTCTAAAAAATCTATATATTTTATGAGAATGATAATTAATTTGGTACACATTAGGAAAACATAGAGGTTCCAAGACGACATTACCATAATCTCCCGAGACTGAATGATGCCCACACACCCTTATACTATTCAGTGCCTTGTGAAAGTACAAAACCCGCTATGTGCCAATTTCCCAACTAAATGGTTGCAGTTGTCATCTTGTTTTCTGGCAGGACTCCTGTGTGTTTCAGAGCTGCCAGACAGTTGCAGCATAGGCTGAAATAGAAAAAAAAATGAACATGCTCCTTTTCTAATTTTGTAGTAAGATTTTTGCATGCTTTCTGATAAGCCATCCCCAAAAAGTCAGTAGGAATTACTGCCTGGTGAGTCTGTAGGATTACAGCCTCAGTCTCACAAATAGCAGAGTCCTTTCATTAACTTTCTACAGAAATATTATATGGGAATGACAAGACACAACAAATGTAGGTGCTTCCTGTCTTTGCCTTTTGCTTTCAAAACAGCCTTTCAATTTTTGCCAACTTTGCTGTTAAGTTTTGTTAAGGAACAGAGTTCCTAATTCGACTCACCATTGAGCAGATGCAAGTATATGATGGGCCCTGAACATTGCCAAGTGTAGTTCGAGGACAGAGCAGAGCAGGCACCTCATCTTAAAGCTTCAAGAGGAGATCCTCTTCTTTTCCCAAGCTGCTTCCGTATCTGGCCCTCCATTAGAAGTTGCCAGAGGAGCCAGTGAGTATGCATGAGCCATGGGACTTAACAGTGTTTTAGATGTTGTTGGTGGACATAGGACTTTTACCTGCCTGCTCACCCATTCTGCTGTCAAGACAGCAGGACCAGGCAGTAGCCAGAGCAACAGAGAGTACAGTATAACTAAATTTATGAAGTTTTAGCAGACCATAATCTCATTATCTTTTTATGCCACTCTTCCGCAAATTCCAGTATTCTTTACTCAGGCTATTTTTAATATCTCCATTATTCACCCTTTCAGCTGTTTGCAAATCAATAGCAGTTAGGGTTGTACTTAAGATAATGACAGTTTCCCTTCAATCAATGGTTGGGGACAATTTGAGTTGTAATGGTTTTTTGAGTTGTAATCCAAATAATACCAGAGGGCATCAGGATGGTGTGTGCGTGCGTGTGCGCACACGTGCGTGCACTGATGTAGATTAACTGTATGTGCAGCTGATTCCCTCTTCCCATCTTCCTCTTGTTAACAAATTTCACTTTAACAATAATGGAGTGCAGTTCATCTTATAGGAAGATGGAGTTGATGTTCATGATGAGGAAGAGGATATTTGCAAAAGGAAGAGGACTGTGTTTGAAAAGATTTTTTGAAAATGCTTGTGTCGGAGAGCTCGTGTCACATATAGGTTTCAAGGATTGGGGAACCTATAAAGTTCCAGCTGTTGTTGGTCTATCACACCTGTCATCTCTGCTGACTGGCCATACAGGGTGGGACTGATAGGAGCTGAAGTTCAATTGCATCTGGGCATGTGGGGGACAATAATTCCCTACTCCAGGTTAAAGGTGAGGACATCAACAGCCCACTTGAAGCAAAACATTCACATTCAAACTTCCATTAGCTACTTACTGTGACTACAGACATTTTCTTGGCCTATGGCCCAAATGTACATTTGAGGAACAATTTTGTTTTGTTTTAAATATAACCTTCCCTCAAATCTGTCTCTTGGGAGCATTTTATTTGTGTAATAGAGAAATACAAAGCAGATAGTGCTTTTGTTCATTAAAAAAAGATTCATAGATTCAAAGATCAATCATGTAGTTTATAATGGGACATAAGCAACCACACATCTGGCAAATAAAGTAGTAGCTGATAATAAATGCTTACACAAAATTGAATGCTATGTCTACTGTGTGTGCCATTACAAAAAGCACTGCTTTCCTTCTTTTCTGTTGTAATAAATCATTTTTGCAGCAATGAATTCTTTGAAGGTAAGATATGTATACCCATCAGAAGGAGTCACTTTTCATGGACATGTGTCTATTCTTTGTGTTCCCTGTGTTCGCTATTCAGGGATAATATACAATGCCCTTTTCTCTCCAAGGGTTGGGATAGGAATTCATGGGTGATATTTGCATCTTTAATATATTGGCAGCAGTGCAAGAAGTGAGGAAAAAAGGTTTTCCGGTGGGAGGTTTCTTCTGCAGGATCAAGGCCTTTTCTCAAGCCTGCCTCCTTCCCCAACATCAACACAGGGAAGCATACACACCTTGCTGTAGTAGAGAACTGATAAAAGACTCCTGTTGGGGATTGTTGCTATCTCAACAGATTCTTGTTGCCAAAATAAGAAGCCAAAGGAAATTTAGAGGTTAGCTAGACTAGACAGCTCATTTGGAGCTGTCTGGTGCAGACTAAATATGGTTGCTTAAGGTCAGGTAGAGGTCTACTACGCCATATGATGTGATCCTTGCTTCCACGTGGTATATACATCTCAGTAACCCTATTTGGGCCAGTTTCTGTTAAGAAAAGGAAAAAAGAAAGAAAGAAAAGAAAAAAATCAGCACCACCCTAATTGGGTTTTTTTAAAAACTGCTTCTGCCCTCTGCCTCTCCACAGAGAGGTAAAGAAAGTCAGTTTTTAATTTCCCATTTCCCCCATATCATTAAGTAGCTAAGCTATCTGTTTAAGCCACTAATGATCCTGGGAGATTGAAACCAGCTGGAAAATTAAAGCAGGGTCCTCTGCTTTGGTTCAGTGATCACATGCATTGGAAATGAACCAAAACGGATAAATACTACATACACCTAAAAAAAGAGTAGTCCATGACAGGGCCCAGGTAAGAATACTCTGAGTGAACAGACTGGTTCAATCTAGCAATTATGTCATCTGATCACTGTCAAAAGGAGCAAACCACTTGTTCCAATAGTGCACCAAATGGTGGGTCAAATGCTAGTGTAGTCACCTGCTCAAACTAACATACCTACAGCTAACATATTTTTGAAAAAACCTTTTTCATTTTCCTTGGACTGTTGTACTAATCCACACAGCCTCTGGTTGGCTGTTTCAACATATCATGTGTGTTTGTGTCCCTAAAATGTACTGATTTTGAAAGGGTACATATGGATAAGGCTTGCCCTAACCACCCCCCCCCAAAAAAAAAGACTTTCACACTGAGGAATTGTCAACTGAATACTCTGGGAACACTAATAATTACTCTTGGAGAATTGCATTCATCCACTTTAATTAATGTATGATATCTAAGAATGGCTTTTGCTGACGAGGAACATTACACCATCTTTTGCAGTAATATGTACCTGCAGATGTTATTATGAAGCAATGGCAATCATACAGGCTTCTCTTGGAATTCTTCAGATCTTTCTGCAAAATAATTCTTGATACTTCCTCAAATATATTGATCCTCAGACTGGGTGTGTGTAACACCTGACTTCTTGGGACTGTGTATCCAAATGCAATAGAGGTGTTCGGTATCTTTAAGCTGTGTAATGAAAGGGATTTGGGGTGAGGGGGGTGTAGATGTAATTGTTCATATCATTGTAAACTTTGAGGAATCCAACTATTCTTGCTGAAATTCCATTTTTTGAACATCTAAGGAAGCACTTTTCCCCTCATGGCTCTTGTTACGTCAAGCTCTGTTTGCACCTTTGCATCAACAGGAACCAAGCTAAACACACTATGCATGAATAAAATAATCCTTTTATTACTGTATTTCTTAAGTATAGTTTTTGCTCTTTATGGAAGAAGAGGCAGACTGGCATGACACAGATAACAATACTCTCCATCTGCTGGTATGTAGCTTTGCTGACAGAAACATTATTCCTTATCTTGATCTGTTTTTTCTAAATTCCACAGGACTCAAAAGGGGTCATACACTTTCTTCTTTTCTTCAAGCCTGTTGTCTACTATGTAGCTTTTGGGCCACCTAATGAATACAATTGTACCTTTGTCACTGCATTTCAAGAGCACGACCAGTATGTGGCCACTATGACTGTACACTTGTTTCCTTACATGAAGATAGCTGTGTGAAGATGGAAAGTTCGCAGAGTACTTGCATGAACTTGTAGAGTACTGTTGAAAGGTTTCAAAGAGCCACTGCTATCACCATGTTGAAACTCAACAAAGACAAGAGTTTTGAGCATATCGGCCTCTATGCAACTGCCCCCATGGCTGTCACGGAAAGCCTGGAAATCAATCCAACTACTATTTCAGAAACAGCCACAATCATCACCCTTCAAAATATCAATTACTGGCCTTCCTAATAAGCACAATTCTGCCCTTTTCTTTTCAAGGGTTAAGACAAGGGTACCTGGGTTATGTTTATATATTTAGTACATTCACAACAGTACAAGGAGAACTGGGGAGATGTTATTTCTGCAGGACCATTTTTCAACTCTGATTCCTTCTCCTCCATCATTCATAGAACACCTATCAGTTTCTCTTTTGCATCTTAACTGTCAGTTCTGCATCTTCTACCATGTTGTCTACTAAGAAGTCAAGGGAATTCCAAATCCAGTAGCTCATGTGAAACCAAAACATGAGTAAATTATTTGTTTGGTCTACAACTCTCAGAATCTCCTAGCAAGGAAATCTGAGCATTGTAGTCAAAAAACAAGTTACTCTTCTGAACTCTGGAAAATGGCTGCCATCTTGCCCAAAGATATAGTTTCTGGGTTAGAACCAGATGCAAATCCATTTAAATCATTTATAGTGTGGCAGCAAGAAAACAGCCATATAACCCAACTGTCAGAGAAGCCAGAGGTTGGTTCTCAGAATGAGATTTGGGCTGGAGGCTAAATTGTATCTTAGCTGGAAGTCTGAGAAGAAAGGAATTTAGACAGAAAGCTCAGCATCAGGCATCACTCTTTCCCTTCTTTACCCCAGTGGCCAGTTCAATTCTGATGATGGCGCTCATCCTGTAAACATGACAGCTACACCTACATCAGGAGATGTTAAGAGCATGAGAATCAAACAAGAATTAAAATCCATATAACATTTACATAGATCAGTCATTTTTGTATACACAGTATGTGTGTGTGTATATACCTTTTAGTTTTAAATTACACAATAAATGTACAAAAAACAAGTGCATCGCTGAGACAACAGCATTCCTCTTTTTTTTCTCAACCTAACAAAATGAAACAAAAATTGAAGGGTGGAAATATCCTGTATGCAGCATGTTTAATTCATTCAGGAACAACACTTGGTCACTGGGTCCTAATATTTGTACGAGAAAGAGGTTGCAGTAGAGGAGGAAGGATGGGGAATTTTTATGAGGAATCCAAGGGACTATTGTGCAAGAGGCTGACTAGTGGCATTCAAGGAAAGATTTGGGATTTATATCATGAAAGCTGGAACAGAAATTATCTGGAAACTACATTAGCCACAAGCCTTTGTGGGTCCCCAGATGAATGAAATATATGCAAAAGGGGGACCCTTGACCAGAGGAATGTTAATAAAAGTGTGTTGTAGCCTGTAACCGGGCACAGAAAAGGAGGCTTCTGGAAACCGGAACCAATGTAGTGAGCTCTTTGAGGTGGGCAAGTGAGAGGAATAGGTTAATGACCCAGTCTTTTCCAACTGGCTGACATAGTCCAACACATTTGAGGAGGCAGTTTATTAAGTTGGGGAAGGCTGGTTTAGTCAATGGGAGGTAGCTGGATGATGGAGCCATCAGATTCCATCACTTCAAAATAGATGGGACAAGCCCAACTGATGTGTAATCTTGATGATATGCAATCACTTATTTATTTATTTATTTATTTATTTATTTATTTANAATCACTTATTTATTTATTTATTTATTTATTTATTTATTTATTTATTTATTTATTTATTTATTTGACTAGGTTATATCTCTCCTTTCTCCCAGAATTGGGATCCAAGGTAGCAAAATAAGGGATAATGTGCTTTTCTCAAAAATATAACAAGGGGAACTGTTGCCAAGATTGTATTTACCAAAAACTATTTTAGTGTTTTAAGCTTCACAAATAAGTAAGAACTGTAAGGAACCCACAGCTTTTAGTAAAGGGGGAAGTGTCCCCATATGTTGAGGAAGACTTTGAAGGTTAAAAGCTCATGTAGGAATAAAAGGTGATTATTCCATTTTCTTTTCTCTTAAGGAAGGGCAAGTACTTGAAATAAAGGCCCGTATGAACAGAGCTGTGAACAATCAAGCATCTCCTGAATAAACAACTTTGAAGGGCTTGTTTTAGATTAAATGGGGGGCATGCAGATGTTCTCAGAGATTATTCAAACTGTATTTTTTTTCTTATACAGCAAAGGTGATATATTTGTAGCTCTCCATATGTTGGAGGATTCGAGTTCTCATCATCTCCAACCAACATAGCCAATAATCAGAGATTCTGGGCTCTGTAGTCCAAAAAATCTGGAGGCCACAGGTTCTTGACCCTACTTTGCAAACTATATCTAATTCTATTTCTTCAGTTGGTTTTTCAGCAACTATTTTGCTTCCCTTTGAAATACATGCTGAAATTATTCTTGACAGAATGGTTCCCTATTTATATTTGGTTGCATCCTCCTAATCACTGTGAGCAAAAGATGCTTCTGATCAGGAAGGGGTCCTTCTCTGGGTACACCTCTTTTACTGCCTACAGAAGTGCCATCCATTGATGGAGCCATTATGTTGGATGGAATACTAGTTTTTCCCTCTCCATCCTTCATGTAAGAATGCTGGATTCAGACCAGTATCTGATGAATATTTGAAAAAAAACAACAGCAGTGTTGCTATTAATAATAATATGTCCAATTAATAATATTTTTGCATATGTCAAGTTATTTACTCTGAGTAGAGAAACTTGCACTGTTCCTGAAATTGCTGAACAATCTATTCCATGGCTTTCCAGTGTCTTAGGTTTAAGATCAAATTCACCTCTAAAGAAGTGCTGACTCTATTTGGCAGCAGGGAGACTTTTGAGCCACTCGTAAAATATTGGAATTTTCCATTAATTTCATTAACTGGGTAGCTTCATAGTTTTCAATAGGGAGATGAAATCTGTACATGTCTTTGGGTATAATCAAGTGGTTTTCCTTCCAAAACTCTACTGATATTAGTAAGAACTGTGCTTCATGGGTTTGTAGGGCAGAAACTCTCAGTGGACCCCCACCACTCAGTGGACCCCCAGCAAGAGCTGGGTAGTAAAATGGTTTCACTTATTTCTTTGGCTGCCTTTTAAAGGTGTCCTGTTATGAGGAAGGGCAAGGGCTTTGGGGAAGACTCATTATTAAGCACACTGCGGCACTTGAAAATACTGAATGAATTTCATTTACTAGCACAAAATGATTTCTGAAGCTTAAAGATGTTTGGATCCTTGTCATGAAATTCCAAGGATCTCTTTGGCCAGAAGTGGTGAAGACTAAAAGAAACAGTCATCCTATGCTAATTTTCAAAAAAATATTCTCTTGAGCTAATTGTCATGGATCTAGACAATCAAAGGTGGCAAAATGCCACTTCCGTACAGTCTATGAACATGCCAACTCTTTATAGATACATCTAGCAGGTCAACCAATTTATCCAAAATCCATTTTTAGTCTCCAGTGAAAACACATGGTAATTTTGGATTTTAAAGTAATCCAAACATATTTCCAACACTGACACAGATCTTTGGGTTTTCATTTAACAATCTGACCTCAACGTCTCTAAAGATACTTGTTCTATGCAAAGGATTTTAAGAGTCAATTCCAAGCTCAAGGAAAAATAATTTAAGTGGCAAAACACAAGCTCTCAACTTCTATTCTTGTATTTAGGTAGCAGGTAAGATACTTACTCAATTGGAAAGAAACTTCAAAATAAATGTCTTTATTCAGGATACTATTATGAAAATTTCTCTTGTCATTTTGAGCATTCAGCCTGTAGAAGGGACACTGCATCTCACTTTAAGCTCATGTCAATCAGCGGTCTCTATGCATTACCACTCTTGTTCTATTGCTGGGTAACATCCTTATCTCTGGATTAATGTTCAAAATCCATGTACAAATTCTGTTGTAAATATATGTTTGCAGAACACATGCACAGCAATCTAATTGGTTTATTTTTTTCCAAACTAGCTGGCATCTGCCACTTCCCAAGTCATCCAATGGATGACTTCCTCCTCATATGCTGCACTGTGACAGCGCTAGCAACTGCATGCTTCTTTGATCATGTATGTATGCTGATGATCCTCTTGCTCCAGCTGACACAGAGATGAATTCTTGGGCCCTATTCATTCTGGTTCTCTTAAGTCTACTTCTTCAGCTCATTGGGTGATATTGGAACCCAACATCTGGGTGGTCTGTGAAGTGTTCTTCTTGGCTAAAGGCTCGGATTCCATTCAAAGATATGCTCCCAGTAGCATCTCAGCCATGCGTAGCAACTTAGTAGGCAGTCTTATATCAAGAAGAAAGCACTAGAGAAATTTCAAATGGTTTGAAGCAATGCTTTTCAGACCAATAAACATTTTTCCTTGTCAACGTTTGGTGATCAGTTGGTCAGAGTGTGTAGCTTTAATAAATTTGCATTTCATCTCTATCCTGCTTGACAGCTGTTTGACTGGGATCAGCAGAGAAATCTGTGCTATGTTTGTGTATGCCACCTGATCAAGTTCAATGTAATGCAACCCTCAAGAGAAGCTGGGAGAAAGAAGCCAGTAGGTTACATTTTGTTAACGTGCATAAGGTGTCCACCCGAGCTCAATACCTCAGTATATCTCATACCAGTAAAAGAGGAAGCCACATCATGCTTCACATTCATGGGGGAAATGGGATCTCAGGACTCTGTGGAGCTAACCCTGTAATCCATTGCATACACATACAAAACTTAAATTAATGCAATGATAATCTGGGCAATAATCTGGAGGGCAAACTATTGCAGCACAAGAATACTGACTGGGGCTTTGTAGTCAAGGCAAAGGATATCTGCCTTTTGCTTTTCAAAATAAATCTATAACAAAATACAAAGAGGGGATAACCCCCCAAGATAATATTTCACTTCCTCCTTACTTTCACTTGCTTTGATCTACTCTGAAAGGATGAATTGGATTGGCCCAAATAACTTACATGTCAGAAGTTTCAGATAGTTCAGCCCAATTGGAAGGTGGTTTATCAATACAATATCCTTAAAAACCAACCAATCAGAAGGTTGGTTAGGCTTTAAAGGCATGAGGTACTGGCTTTCACCTGCAAAATAAACCTCAATAGACAGTATTGACCCTTCATTTGTCATCATTACCTCAAAAACAAGACAAAAGAAAAAAGTGGCCATAAAATAGTCTTCCAGGATGGCTATTTAAAAAAAAAAAAAAAGATTGTTTGGAAAATATGTTTGGATCTCTAACTGGGCTGAGTGACCAGACAGCAAAATGGCTACTTGGCTGGCATAGAGAGATGGGAGATGACAGAGGGTTGATTTGTTTTTCTGACAGCAGTGATGAGAACATGACAGAACTAAATAGCTTCCACGTAATTAGCTGGATAAAGACCAAGTTGCCCGTTGTCCAAGCGACCTTTGCACCACCCTTGCTCATCTTCTTCACCTAATTTGGTTAATTCATCACCTAAAATAATAACAACAAATTAGAAATTAGGGCTCTATGTATAACATGAATCTTTATCGGCACAAGGAACAATTTGTACAAACTTTTCTCCCCTGTTCCTTGGTTGGTTCTAAACTCACAATGAGAGAGAGAGAGAGAGGGAGAGAGTATTTATAGATATATAGAGAGGTATATATAGAGGTGTATGTATATTGGTTTATATACAGGCTAATCGAATAGCTCTGGAAGAATCTTCATGGATTGTGAGTTTAGAACCAACCAAGGAAAGGGGGAGAAAGATTAAAAACAAACAACTTGTTACAAGCAAATCAAAGTAAGAAAATCTCAACAGTTTATTTTTAATGAAAAGCAGCCTTGAGAAGCAGTGTATTTCAGCAGCTGTGCTGAACAGGAGTGTCCACTGACTATTTTTCTGCTCTAAATCATACATTCCTTCCCCTGCTACCCCACTTACAATTGAGAGAATAGCTTCTATATGCCAATAAGGGCAAGGTACAGATATTGGTGTTACAATTTGGAGGAGGAGAAGGAGGAAGAGGAAAAATCTCTTTGCCATTTCTGAATTCTGCTACAGACTTAAAAAATTTAGACCTATTAGCTGCTAAGACACATGTGAGCTGGAAGGCCATTACATCCATTCTGAAAAGAAACCTCTTGGAGGCAAGGCACTATAATAGAATGCTCCTGATATTTCCTCTGAAAAGTGACTGATGGCTGCGTTATCTTCTCAGACACAACAGCTTACCACATATTTATGCCATACCTGCTTTGAAACTCAGTTCATCCTGTTCCTGTCCATCATAATCATACAGAGCTCGTACACGCATGCCTTTCACAGTTGATTCTTCCTCAAAGGAGTTGGCACCACCATTGGCTTCGCTGGAGTTGTAGGTGTTGGCGCCTTCATCATCTGACCACTCTGCAGCGTAGGCTTGGTTACGGTCATAGCTGCTCACACTAACAATGCAACATGGTGCCATGAGAACTGGTATTATAGCATAAAGTGCTCAGATACATCAAACAATGGAAGGCGCTTCACCATAATGGCACTTTGCTGCCATCAGGTCTTATGCTAAAGGCTCCTATTCCTTCTGGCTGCATCTTATAATGGTGCCCAAACTGGAGGAAGCTTGGCGTACTCACCTGCCACGGTCCCCAGACTGGGCTGCTGCCTCTCCACCAGAACCCGCACTTGATGCATTGCCTGCTTCGTTCTTTTTAGGTTTCTCTTTCTTTGCTACCACTTGTGTTGCATCGGGGTTCCACTCCTGTAGACCAAGGAATGTGTTTCTGATCTCATAGTAGCAGTTAAGCACTGATTTCCTTTCCTTAAGCCCCAAATGCACTACATCCCACTTCCAAATATACAAACACCAGAAGAGCCTTGCTGCAGCAGAACACAACAGCATTCTGTTTCCTCTAATGGCCCACCAGATACCCCTGGAACTACAAGAAGCTTTGTCCTGTTGTCATACCCCAGTCTCTGACATATATTAATGACATAGTGCCTTTCTGAGTATTAAGATTTCTGAGAGACATTGGAAGATGATCACAGGAAGATGATCATAGGTCATAGCCATTGAATCAATAAGATAATTTGCTGAGATGGTCTTACCTCTAACTGAGGCCAGTTCATGGGCATCCCAGGGCCGCTAGTGTTGCGGAACCACCGAAGGTCCTCCTGTGCATCAGCTATGCGGATGGTCTGCTCAAGGTCACGGTAGATTTTAGCATAGCTACATGTTATAAACAAACAAAAATGTAAAGCTACAGGTAAGTACTGGACATAACTAGAGTAGGGAACCATCAGCCTGGGGCTGACAGGAGTCAACAAAGTCTGAAGGGACAAATATTCTTAAATATTGTTGTTGCTATTTCTTCTCAATATTGCTAGTGCATAAGGGTGGACCAAAAGGATCAAGTCTAAAAATTAGGAATTAATTAAAATGTGCAAGTGAGAGTATGTTTGCAAAATCCCTGATTTTTGAATTTCAAGAAGCAAATTAGCAACTATTGGCAACTATTTTAAATTTGTGAACAAAGATTTTGGAATGACTCCCATTAGTGAAATAAGTATGGGTGAGACAATAGCCTGATCTTGCCTCCGTGTTCTCTAAATTTTTTGCCTTCATTGTATTCTGACATTATTTCCGCCATCTATATTTCCCCACAGCTTCGTTCAATGTTCTTCTTACTGCATAGAATTTGTAAAGGAAGAAAAGACAGAAGAGCTGTGTAATGTCTTTTGACTGATACTCCTTGGAACAATCCAGGGAACCATCAGCCTGGGGCTGACAGGAGTCAACAAAGTCTGAAGGGACAAATATTCTTAAATATTGTTGTTGCTATTTCTTCTCAATATTGCTAGTGCATAAGGGTGGACCAAAAGGATCAAGTCTAAAAATTAGGAATTAATTAAAATGTGCAAGTGAGAGTATGTTTGCAAAATCCCTGATTTTTGAATTTCACGAAGCAAATTAGCAACTATTGGCAACTATTTTAAATTTGTGAACAAAGATTTTGGAATGACTCCCATTAGTGAAATAAGTATGGGTGAGACAATAGCCTGATCTTGCCTCCGTGTTCTCTAAATTTTTTGCCTTCATGTTTGGTGCTTTGGAATTTTTGTATTTTCTGTAGGAAAACTGAACACTCACGTTGTTAAAACAAACACAAGGGGGCGACAACAGCACAGGGAGGTCAATGTGCATCTTTGTAGTTAAATCCTCTGTGATTTATTAGAGATAAGACAAAAAATATAGCTATTGCAAAGTTCAAACAATGGTCTGTCTAAGGAAAGACCATTTCCTCAGCAATAGTACTTGTAGAAAAAGGCAGGGAAGATGGTGTGTGTGTTTGTGTGTGGGAGACAGGGCTCAAGCTTTTGTCATTTCCTGGAGCTTAGGAGAAGCAGAATCTCTCCTGCAGAACACAGAACTCTCCTGCAGAATTTCAGCGAGATGTGGTTACTAGGCTTTTGGGCTCTTTGTATTCTGACAGAGGAGCCTTTCCCTGTTTCTTGCTCTCTAGCTGTTCTAGATTACATATTCCATCATCAGTGGTCCAACTTGCTGGGGATGATCAAATCTATAGTCCACATATCTCGCAGATGACAGGTTGGAGAAGACAGCAGCATATAATAATATAAAAAGTGGTGTAGCACTATTTGTTTATAGAGCTAAACTGGGCATTTCTGAATTTCAAAAAAGCAGAGCCAGGTCCATTTTAAATTTGCAAGTACACCATTACTAAAGATGGATAAATGACTACATTTCCTCTTTATACAGGTCAAATTCTGTAAGAGTTTTCTTATTTTTATCGCTGTTGAGATGCTGTTACCTCAGAAATGTGTCTGCAAAATGCAAAACTAGAAAGGTTACCTTTTTGTTCTACAAGTCCTATAGTCTTATACACTGTGAAATTCTGGGAATCATACTTGAAAGAAGTATCTTTTTTTCAGATGCTGAAAAATGCAGAATGTGCTTCTGGTAACTGAGAGGAATAAATGCTGCTACTATTATATAGTTTGACAAAACTCTCTGAATGTCTCAGACAGCATCTTCCCAGCTCACAGACTTTTTGCAGTTGTGAATGATTTTATACCTGTGTATGGATGGGAATGATTCCCCCTGTCTGTTGCTTTGTGCAGTGCACTCAGAGCTTGCTAATTTGAGAATGTCAATATAGTATTCTTTGATTTCCCTCTATGGCTCTTATACATATTAAAGGATGAGATGGGCCTGAAATGGTAGGAAGGTGTATACAAACTCAGACTGCAAGTAGGAATGGTAAAATATTTCCCTCTTCTTCCTTGCTGCCATTTGCAAATATAAAACCAGCACAGAGAGGATTGCTGTAAAATCATTCTGAAATGTAATAGTCCCCCCCATGGGGGGGGGCGTTGGCTCCCTTTCGGAGAACATGACAAATCAGTGTCCTACCTGTAGTTTGAAATGGCACAGTTCACCTACAGACTGAGGCACAGATGGTGAATGCATGACTCTCCAAATGTTGCTAGACAAGTACTGCTATACTCTTTCATCACTAGCTATGTTAGTGGAAGTGCAGAGCAGCAACATCTGGAGGTCACCTATTCCCCACTAAGGGCCTTACATACTTATTCTTTGACTTTGACTTATGTGGCTTTTGCTGCCCAAAGAAAGTTCCAACTCCAAACAGCTGGAACATGGCAGTTTCACAAATATGGTCAAGTACAAATCTGACTATGAAGATCTTCATAGGCTAATTTTTTAAAAAGCGCTATATGGGTGAACTTAGCCTCTGCAAGTCATCATATTCTGTGGGTCAGCCTGAACTGAATCCTGCGCTTGCTCATGTTATACAATTATCAAGCTTGGCAGGGATTTTGAAGGCCATCTCAGTCCAAGCCCTTGCTCAGGACTGGATTAAGTCATACTAAGGCCTTAAGCCATGGCGAGTTCAGAGATGAGAAAAATTTCCTTCCTTCCTTCCTTCCTTCCTTCCTTCCTCCCTCCCTCATACAGCTTCCAGAATGTCCTAGCCACCATGGCCACTGACAATGTTGACTGAGGAATTCTGGGAGCTGCAGTCTGAAAAAAGTAACCTTTTTGATCTACGCTAACATTTAAGAAGTCCTCACAGCATTACCAAAAAGAGTATTTCGAGGCATTTTGGACAGACAGCCAGACACACAGACATGTATGTGTTTGTATACACGCATGTGTGCCTGTCTGTACACACACACACATGTGCCTTTAAATACAAAGACCTTGCATAATCTGAGGACCTAAACTGTAGTTTATGTGAGGTCCTCAAATGAGCACAAATCCAGAAAAGCCTCTGCTCAATGGAGGAAATCAAGAGTTGGAGCATCCCTAACAGATGGCTGCTCAACTTCTGCATAAATATATTGAAAATCTCCTTTCTTCATCTGCTGGTTATGAAGTCCTTGAACGCTGTTTGGTGGCAATAATGGACCGGACAAGGGCCATTAAACTGAAACTATATCCAGATAATACAGAAATCCTACTGTTGGGATGGTCATCAGACCAGTTAGAGGGACATTTACCTGGCCTTGATGGGGGTATACCTTCCCTGAAGGACTGGGTTTGCAGTTTGGGTGTACTCTTGGACCCAGCTCTCTCTATGGAGGTGCAAATATCTGCTGTGCCCAAAAGTGCCTTTCGTCAACTTCAAATGATTGCCCAGCTGCACCTCTACCTGGAGAAGAAATGCTTAAGAGTGGTTCATGTGTTGGTAATCTCCAAAATAGACTACTATAATACTCTTTATGTAGGAATACCTTTGAAGTCAGTATAGAAACTTCAGCAAGTCCAAAATTCAGCAGCCAGACTGGTCACAGGCACCACCAGATATGAACACATATCTCCAGTCTTGGCATGTATCTGATAGCTTCCTGTTAAGTTTCTGTGCCCAATTCAAGGTGCTGGTAACCACCTAAAAAGCTCTTAATGGTTTAGGACCTCCACCATTTAGGAGATGTCTCTTAGTCCCTCCCCCAAAAGGTGCAGCTATCACACTGGTTCCTGGTGAGACTTCCCTGCTCTCCTGCAGGGTTTCAATGGAAGATGATGATATACCTGCTGTTCTCTGCCAAGTTCAGGTGCCGTTTGATATCTAACAGCACCTCCTTCAGAAAGTTGAGTCTCTTCTCTTCAAATTGCTGGCACTGCTCAAAGACCTGCTCCATACTCTCCATGTACTGTGGGGTGCACTTACTCAGCTCTTCCACCACCTTCTCATACTTCTCCTGGGTCTGTAGGTAAAGTAAAAGATTATTTTAAGATATCTCTTGAGACCTTGCCCTATGCTGCCTAGTAAAGTCTCCTCCAGATATTCAGTGTGACTAAGTACAACAAGTAAAACACAATAAAACTGACCTGCATCTTTGTTAGAGATACCAGTAAATAAGTATAGATTCTCTGTATGCATTATGTCTGCATTCTGGCTTAAATTCCATGACAGTGATGAATTAAAATTAATTTACGTTCATTTCATGGTAAGTTACAACTGTCTATTCTAGCATTTTCTAGAAATCAGTGTCAGCACTGCTGAGGAGTGAAAATTGTTGATGAAATTCATCACACAAGGGAATACAAACCCAAGTTAACTGAGGTCTCCTCCATAGTCATAGCTACCATGTGAAAATTTGTGATGAAGTCAAGTTCTGATAGAATCCAAAAGTTAAGACAGAGTAATACCTTGGCTGGACCACTAAAATATTAAAAATAGGTGAGCTTGAGTCCAGTAGGATCCTTCATCAGGCTGGGCATCACACAAATTCAAAGGGTAGGGCGAGAATCAGAAAAGCTCAAAAATAATCCTGAACTAGATGTTGCCATGTCAGGATCTATGACCAGGGACATAGGGTTGCTGAACCAGTTTGAGGTATGAGCTTAGCCAATGTAAGCTCAATTGTTCTTCCCAGCTCTTGCAATCAATTAGCTGCTAATCACCTATTATATTCTCCATCACCATGTGTGAAGGCATATGTATAGCTGCAGGCTGGCTGGGGAAATATGGTAACCATGTGAGAAGAATTAGACATGAAGGATCCTGCTAAATGTGAAAATTGGCCTTTAAAAATAATTTAGTGAGCCAATAAAGGAATGATCATCTATCTCTCTAGATCCCTATGTCAAATTTTGTGCAACAAGAAACAGAGCCCCCCTCCCTTTTAATTTTGCTTGATTATGATTATAGGGTTCATATTCTGTTTGGACTTCAGATATGTGGAATAAGCACAGACATTTCTCAAATCATTTTAAATAATGATTACAAAATTAATGTGAAACTGGTGTGAATGGCATGCATTAGTATGATAGGGAATAGTGGATTGTAGGAGAGGATGCATGTGCTCACAGAGAAGGAAGGGTAGGTGTGCCATTTCTATAAAGAGTAAAACTGTGACCACAGCCTTTTGGGTAGGGATAGGTAAATTCATGAAGAAGATAACTTGATTTAAAAATGGGCTGGCATGCATATGTGTGGTATAGGAAATGCAAAGAATAATCACATTTTGCAGAACATATTCTGAGGAAGGTGATGTGCTTAGTATGGCAAAAATTTCAAATACAAACCTATAAGAAAATTCCAATATGGGTAGCACCAATAGAGGCATTCACATTGTAAGTATTGAATCAGAAAGGAGTGTTACTCACATATTTATTAACTAAAAATCAGAATATGAAAGATAACCAAGATCTAGAGAAATTGGGTCTAGCTACAGATTGATGGTCAATGTTGAAATTAGAATTGAGATACAAAAAGTACAAAATATGGCCTTTTTTTGAGGGGTAAGTCCAGGTGGATGAATTATGGATTTACACTAATGAGAAAAATAAATAAATAAATTTATACATACTTGTTAGAATAAGATTAAGAGAATGAGAGGGTGAAGGAGGTGATGGTAAAATGGGCACAAAACTTTGGGTACAGTATCGATATTGATGAATGGACAACAATGTGTAAAGAGAATCATAAAATGATTAAGCCAGTGAATCTTAGAGAAAATATCCTTAAAATGTTTCACAGATGAAATTTTACTCCTGTACACACATATATATGCAAAAACCTTTATTGGCATTATGTTTTTACTCCTGTAAGATTGGCAAAAATGTCAGAAGAGATCAGCAATGTTTGTTGGAAATGTAAAAAAAAATCCAAGGACTTATTATCATATGTGGTGAAGAAGCAAAAAAATTTTGGATACAAGCTTGGGAAATGGCAAAAGAGGTTGTCCAACAAAAATTAAGTTTTAAACCTGAAACGTTACTATTGAATATAATGCCAGAAATTATTGATAAGAAAATAAAATATAGTCTATTGTATATATTCACAGCAGCTAGGCTACTCTGGGCCCAAAAATGAAAGAATGCATAGACACCAACGATGGATAAGTTATTAAAGAAACTATTGGACATTGCAGAACTAGACATGCTTTCAGAGACACTACGGGACCAACCAAGAGACTTTATAAAGCAAAGCTGGAAGCTAATATATGATTGGGCCCAGGAAAAGACAGGAATTTAGGCGGGAAATTAGTTTATAGTGAACCAGTGCTCACCGGAATCCTTTGATGATGACCAGACAACAATAAAATCTCTGATCCACAGGGGAGGGATGGATGCTTAGTTGTAATGTTTTTTGTTTATTATTGTTAGATCCTTGGTGTTTTTAAGTTTGTATGTTTAGATATGGATGAATAACTAAATAAATAAAAAAGAAGATAACTTGTGTTGTACGTACTGCATTTTGCCTATGTATTTTATGTCAGCAACTATATATGTGAAGATAGCTAAGCTTCTCACATGTCCACACATTTCTATGTCTGATGACTGCATGGAAAAGCAAAATAATAAGTAAGCTTTATTGTGAGCAGTTATAGAATTAAATTATCTTGAATGAAGTTACTCCTACCTTTTGCACATCTTGTTTGCACTTTTCCACCTTGTCTTGCAGTTTCTTCTGCTGGTCTGGTGTGATGGACTGCTCAGCCTTGCTGTTAGCTTCCCTGGTCAGGGCAAGCTTCTCCTCTTTGCACGCCAAGTGATAAGCTTTCTTGGCTGCTTCCAGCTGGTTTGAATTAAGACCACAATTAAAGTGAACCCAGGCAGATGACTACAGAGGCTCAGATTTTGGAACCCCCAACACTTCTGAAACCTCTGTGCTAGGTTTGTAGCCCATCTTTGCTTCAAACACTGAATGTGTATTCATGACAAATTCTCTACCTCCTTAATAAAGCCTACAATTTACTCTAGAAAAAAAATTTGATTAGAAAATGCACAGTTTGAATGACTTCACATACCCATATCTGCTCATTTTCATTTTCTGTCTGGAACAATGGCTGAAATCCTGTTATAGGGTACAGTAAGTCAGAAACAGAGTAAGACGATTGAATCAATGGAACTTACGGAAGAGTTCACTCACCAAATCACTACTAATTCAATGAATCTACTCTAGTTGTTACTTACTGTGCTCCATAACAGAATTTTACACAGTGAAAACTATAAAGTTAAGTTTTCTTAATAAAGGGCCACATTTCAGGATTCTGAGACACCAGGTGTCATATATTCAGGGTAAGCGATTCACCACCATGAGCACTATCATAAGATTCATAGAGATCCAGTGCATAATTAATACTTTCAAGGGTCTCTCGGTGTATAGGATTGTTTCCCAGACACAATGAGACTTAGATTGGTCTCTGCAGAGTCCAGTAAAGACTGGGCTGTACAGAGACTATGGAAACAATGCCTTCAGTTCTCCTCTACATATTTATTTATTTATTTTATTTATATCCCGCCTATCTAGTCAGCTCAGACCACTCTACATGTTACAACAGATGTCCTTCATATTATGGAGATGCTATTTTGCAGCTGCCTAAGGAAGCTATCAAGCTTATTTATTCCCTCAGCCTACTGAAGTCATTAGACATTGTGCCCTTCTCCTTTTTTCCCCAACCCTTCCTACCTCCTTCATCTTCTTGGCCCAGGGTTTCTGTGCTTTCCGAAAACCATCTTCTGCTTCCTTGGCCTCCTTGAAACCTCCCATGATTTGCTTGTGGAAAGCATCCTTCTGCCAGTTCTTCACCTTTTCGAAGTCCTCATTCAGCAAGTTATTCTTTATTTCTTGATGCATCTCGCTCACCTTGTCCGCTTCTGTCATTATGCCCGTCCAGGCTTTCTCCAAACTGCCATATTGTGGGCCTATGCACCAAGAGCACCAGTAAGGCTGGAGTGACCATTGAGTATGCTGAAATCAAAGCCTGTTCTTCTCGTATAGATTGTACTCTCTTCTATTGTAATCACAGAACAGGTCACTATGCCCCATTGCAACAGTCAGAAAAACTGTAGCAAAGGATTGGGAAGTACAAAGTGACAAAACCGGAAATATTTTATTTATTTATTTAATTAATTTATATCCTGCCTATCTAGATTGAAGTCAACTCTGGGTGGCTGATCCACATGCTTTGGCTACAACCTGTTGCTGCTTACTGTTGTGGATAATCAGCCCACATAATTAACAAGGCAACCCCTTGCCCTAACCAGCCCCACCACTTTGTAGAAATATTCTTGTATTCTTACATTTGATTCTCAGCAAGCTGTGTACCCTCCTACCCCAGGCTAGGACTGGACTGTATATTTCTCTTCATTTTTTAAAAAACCAGTATACGGAGCATGAGTGGTACAATACTAGATATGATACAACAGATCAGAATCTCCACTGATCTCGGGTTTGTGTTTTAGTTAGCTTCTCTAAGTAGCTGCTTTGTAGACTGGAGAGATGGCAGTGGAACAGAGCTAAAGAACCCCATGAACTGTTTGGTCCTTTTGATCCCAAGATGCTTAAGTAACCACTGATTTCATTCTTTGCCTTTTATTGTCCAGTGCCGGATAATCTCCAGCTGATGAGCGGAGCTGTAGTCTAAGGACCAACTAGATAACACTGTTAACACATTATTAGAAGGAAAGTTCCCTTAAGAGGAAAATATCTGCTTATTCTACTGTGAACTTGTATCAATTCTTACTGGATGAAATTGCTTTCTTTCATGGTGCAGTTGGCCTACTAAATTACTAAAACCCAGCAAATATAGTTTCTGGGAAAGAGCATGGCTTCTTTTCATATGTCTGATGTCTAGGCACATAGTACTGAAAGATTTGCAGGACTGAATGGCTAATATTATTATTAGAAGAAATATACATTTGCCCTTATATGTGAGATGAATGTAAATCTGGAAGCTCAGGGAAGGCTTTAGAAGAAATATACATTTGCCCTTATATGTAAATCTGGAAGCTCAGGGAAGGCTAGAATGCGATATCTGGAAGTGGATTTGTACTATATGACTAAGGTTGTGATTATATGCACAATTCTGTGGGACCATTCTCATTGATCAGTAGGCTTTGCTTTAGTAAACATGTACAGTTTGTGGTCTAACCAAGAGGGAAGCAATATTTTAAATCTCATTCTCACGTTTACAGATCTCATGTGGTTTTATTTTTGTTCTGACTCATTTTTATCAATGTTTTATATGTTGTATTTTATTATGTATTAATTTTCCAATTTGCTATTTATTGCAAATCTCTTAGGCTAAATGTTAAACAAACTAAACAAGTATTTGCCTATAAATTCCCAAGTTTTGTGTCTATGTGGATTTGAAAACTTTCAAACATACAGCAAAAGCAACATGCTAATAAAGGCCCTAACTTTCCTCATATCATAAATGAAAATAATTATTCTGAACGAATATCTGGGGAAGCATATGACTCAAGAGTACAGCTTGAATCAAGAGGTGAACACTGACACTATATTGTAAGGTGCAGTTACATGCATTTCTCAGGTCCCTCTGCCCCAGACACACAGTCCTCCATTCCACTATTGGAAAACATGCATAGCAAGGCGTAGAAATACCTTTCTCTATTAGCTGTCTCCACCGCTTAGACCAATCTACCAGCTGCTGGGCATATGCTTTCTCAATCTTGGCCCGCTCATGGACACAGTTCATCAGGTCATTGCACAGCCGATAGCCATCATCAATCCGTTTCACTGTCCGCTTGTAGTTCCCAACCTGCCAGACACAAGAACATATGCCTGGGAATGGTGACTAGTGTAGCCCAATGAATTATCCTGGAGGACAGTTTAACTCAGAGCAACCAGGCAAGGGAGGGAGAAGAATTAACTATGTGTATACAGGTAAGCAATGTCAGAGTGAAGGAGAAGCGGTGCAATTTAACCTAAAAAGAGGTATGGTGTGTGAAAATGTGGTGGTTTCCATGCCCATGTCTGTGCCTCTTTGCTATTCTTCTGTGTGGCATGCCAAACATGGGAGAGGATAGCCTCTTACCTCCCAGAAGCTGTCAGTTATTTCTTCAGCAGGTGCCGCAGACTCATCATAGGAGCCTGACATGGTTTGTGGCCCTTGGTGTTTATTGCCAAATGTTCAGCCACTCTGCAGGCAGCACCAAACCTCATGCACTGCAAAGAAGGAAGAAAAAGGAAAGGAAAGTCATCTAAGTGTTGGGTAGAAGCAGCTGAAAGGACCCCCCCCCATTCAACTTCTGCTTATCTGGAAGTCCACACTGAAAGTCCACACTGTGTATTCAAGCCATGAGTTCCTATTCCCAAAACATTTTAAAACAGCCTTCATCTCTGTCATCCTAATTCAGTGCAATAAGTTCTTCATAACAATCAACATATTTGTTACCATATCCAAGTGGATGCTTTGGCTTCACAGCTAGTATTGAAATCATTTACTTGCCCAAGCAAGGTGCTAAATTGTTCTCAAGAAATGTGTCTATTGGATTCAGACTTTGCCACACTTTGTGAACCCATCACTGAATCATCTAAGTTCCACTGGTTTCAGTGGGTCTTCTTGAAGTGTGACTACATCTGGATGCAAGTCATTGTCTATTACAGGCCTGGGAAACTTGAAATCCTCTAGATTAGTGGTTCCCAACTTTGGTTCCCCAGATGTTCTTGGACTAAAATTCCTAGAAGTCTTCATCACTAACTGTGCTGCCCAGGATTTATAGTAGTTGTAATCCAAGAATGTCTGAGGATCCAACATTGGAAACCACTACTCTAGATTATGCTGGACTCCAACTCCCACACAGTCCAGACAGGCTAGCCAATAACAAGAGATGATGGTTACAGTATTTTAATATTTGGAAAGGCACAGATTTCCCATCTGTGATCTATTACCACGGAGCAAAAAGAGACATTTAACATCAAATGGAAGAACATGCACATTGAATAATATCATGGCACTATCTGACTTGTGGGGATGGAAAAACTCCACTTGCAAAAGATGCCTCTGATCAGTTTTCAGTGATTTCTTTCCCTGGCTTCTTTTCCAGGGTCATGTTCACTTTGATTAATCTGTCACTGATTGAGATGGCTCCCCAAGGTAATGTAAAATCTTAGTTTTGTTTATGATCTATGGCTAGTTGTTCAGATTTGCTTTGCACCCAGCCCAAGCCATTTCTGTTAAGATAATATGACTGTCATATGAATTTGCACTATCTCTTTGGGAAACAAGCATTTTTACAGTAGATCTTTTTTCTTATAAACAGGTTTTAGGGTCAAGACAAGATAAATGCCAGCATGTCATACTTTAAAGCAATATCCTAAAATGAAACTGAAAACTTGACTCTGATTTTCTGCAGCTTCGTATTTGCTGAAGAACAAACACTTCATGAAGAAGCCTTTGAAAGATATCCACAGAAAAGCACTGCCTGTGGACTTCCGGCCTGATGCTGCGACAAGACAGCAGGAGGAGGATGGGGCTCCATACCCTGGGCTGAATTCTGACTTGTTTGGGACCCCCCAGGGGATTAAAACCACACCAAAGAGGTGGTGAAATGGGGGAGAAGCCTGTTGATCATGGGGGAACAGTGGTTACCCACATTTGATCCAGGAAACTCCCCAATCAACCAGTGGGTGGAAACAAGAAGCTGAACTAGCTTGCCTGCAGGTTGTCGGCAGCTGGGTAAAAGAAGTGCTAAATCAGCCTAATTAACATCATGCTACAAACAGGTGAAAAACATATTTAAAAACTGTATCTATTTACTATATCTGGATAAGACAATTCCTACAGCAGAAATAGCGTCTCATAGCTCTCCATCATCATTGATTAAGCTGTGGAGAAGCTGGAGAGAGGAGGAGATGGAGGGAGACACAAAGAAAATAAATTGGATATTAATTAGACACTTAATTGTACTTAAAGGAAGGACGTTCGGTATTAAAACTTAAGAATCTTTTTCCTGAAAACACTACTGACAACAACTTTGCAAAATGAAACCTGTTTATGTTATGTCTAACAGCTATCTAAGGCACTGGCAAAACGCCTAGAATCAATGGCCTTGAATGTTCTATGACTGTTTGGAATTCCCTTTCTCTTTGAGGATGGAACTTATGTTTGAGACTGGATTCAAACTCAATGGAACTGGATTGATCACTTTAAGCATATGGACAACTTTAACTTGGAATACAATTGGAACATAATGACACAACAAGGACAATTTTGGGAGGAAACAAAATCTACCCTTCAAGCAATCTTAGAAATAGTGATCTCACAATGGAGAGGCAAAATTATTCACGGCACAGTTGAAGAAGAATTATAGTCAACAGGAGACAGTAAATTATGAACAAGGAAAGGAGAGGGTGGTGGATGGTGTATGTCAACCTAAAGAAGGGCTGGAGGAAATTAATGGGGAAAACCTAGTGGAATCGAGGAGAGTTTTAAGGCAAGATAAGGGGAGAAAATCAGCAGAATGAATTAAAAATAGCCTGGAAGATCTATTGGAGATAGACCAAGTACAGTGGTGCCTTGACTTATGAACATCCCTACTTGCGAAATTTTTGAGATACGAAAAGCTCCGGTCGCAAAATATTGCTTTGACTTGCAGCCAGAGCTTTGAGTTACGAAAGAAAAAAAAATGCGGGGGAGGCGGGAAAAGTGCAGAATTTGAACTTTCTGTTAACCGTTGGCCAGCGAAGAGGCTGCTTATCTGCTACCTCACTTGTCCCAGCAGTTAGAGAGTGGATAGGGAGTCTTCAGACTGCCTGGTATTGTACAGTACTGTCTGGGACTGTACTGTACGTACTGCTTTTTTGCTTTTTTAATTTTTGATATCTGGATTTTTGACTTTTTTTTGACAGAGAGACTACCTGTTCTGGGTGAGTACATACACTGTACAGTATTTACTGTACTGTACAGGATGTTTTGCAGCTTGGTGGCGGGATAAGGCTAGGTGGGGGTTATGTTTCTGTGCTCTGATGGGTCTTGCAGTGTGGATTTAAAATGTGAAAGGTAGACTGTAATATTAAATTAAAATCAAATGTGAAAATTAGACTGCAGTTTTAAAATGTACAATTTATTTTTTTTTGCACTCTGTGGCTCCTAGGATTTGTATACTGTACTGTGACCTCTCTTTTGTTTTAAAAATGTGTGGGTTTAAAATGTGGCTCCACGGTCTCCAATATCCTGTGGTGCTTGTTGATGCAGGGAGGCTTTAAAATTGAGTTTAAAATTGAGTTTTAAAATGGAGTCTACTGTAGACTCAAGGCTCTCTCC